GTCTGTGTAGGAGTATTCCTGCCAGATGCCTAATTGTTGGCCAGCTTTTGGCCCGTGCTGCTGCTGTTTACGTTTCTAGGAATCGCGTCTCTTCTGTGATAAGAACAGCTGCGGGGTTCTCTTAGAGCGCGATTAAAGAGTAAACAGTGAAATAATCAACACTGCAACATTGTGGCAATGGAACACAGAGATATTTGTCGATGGCTCGGCGCATGCCTCGTCCTCGTTTCATTGTGGATTCGTTTCAGTTTCGGGACATCGTTTTGTGGGGCTTCGTCTCAGTCGTTGGCCGTTTATGGCTCCATTTGGACGGTGTCCTGGGCCAGAACCGAATGCGCAGAATGTGCATATTATTATCCTTTGGCTTGGGCTTTCACGTACGAATAATCGTAAATTATATTGGCACAAGAGAGGACATTGCACGGTCCAGAAGTGTCGACTGGAGGTGGAGCAGAGGATATTGTTGTTATTGATATGCAACTTATCAAATTAATTTGCCTTTGAATGCGTTTTGGGGCTGAATTATATTCACACGAATGCTGCACTCGAGCTCGAGTGATGCAAATTTAATTGAACTGATTGGACTATGCGGGATATGATATGGATTTGATTATGCAATTGGGGCTTTAAGTGTGCATGAAAGTCAATTTGCCGTTGCCCGTTGTAGCGGGAGTTGGGAGTTCATCAGCATTCGGGGCCAAAACCCAATAAATAATTTCAATTATTAATGGAATAAAGCGTGCACTTATTTGTCTGATTAATACAATTTTCCCTGTCCGATTCCGCTCGCTCCTTCCTTCCATCTCTCCCTGCCTCTCTTCTGCTCTGAATTGACACAAATTAAATTAAACTCTTTTTTTTTTGTTTTTCGCTCGTTTTGGTTGTATTTTTAAACGAGATGGCGGGGGTAAAAAACAGAATAACATCAGTCTGAAACAGCACGAACCATATTCATTAGTGATATTAATTCAATATGAAATTCCTTTTCTCATTGGTTTTGATGCTGTCTCTGCCGCTCCTCCACCTCCTACTCCTTCTTTTACGTCATCCCCATCCGCTATCCGCCGTAATCGATTGTATTTTAAATAGATTATTAATTTAAATTCGTTGTATGCAATTGTACGCTACCCTTTTTGCGTGCGTGGGTGTTCAAGTTGCGGTAGAAATCAATCTGAGAGTTTTGTTGGGAATATATTGGGCTTCATTCACATAGTCATAGTATTTATAACTTTTTATCAATCAAATATTCACCAATATCATATATATAGCAGCATCATATCATTTTCTGGTTAAACTGATTTCACAGATTACATTACTTTTTGCGGTTCATTACATTTAATTAAAATGTTATTAATACGTATATTTTCATCATAAATAAACAACTGCAAAACAGTTTTTCCATGCAAAAATAATGTTTTTTTTTTCTGCTGAAATTATATTAATATTTTATACACTACTTTTATAATTTATGTAAACGATTGAAATCCTTCTTGGAAAAATATTTTTGTTTTGACTTGATCATAACGAAGTTAAACACTTAAAAATATTTTATAGAAATAGTATATATATATTTTTAAATTTTATTTGATAGTTTTTTATGTATCAAATAATTTTGATCAACATGAAAACTTTCTGCCGTTCGCAGAGTATCTCTATATTCGATTTGCTTTCCCCATTTCCCTCTGTAGTTTTTTTTTTTTTAATTGACTTATCGCATAGTTGTGGCCATCCTCGTGGCAGTTTTTCTTTATTTATTTTTTAAAATTGTTCCTGCAAAACGACAAACGCATTCAACGGTCAGATTGTGCTGATATGCTCGTAATCAGCTCTTTGCTGGTTAACCAGCAGCTACAGATACTTGTGACCATGAATTAGCAGTGGGAAAACCGAGTAAAACAGAGTGATGGGGCCATTTTCTTTACAAATGGAAAAAAGGGAAAATGGGAAAGTAGCACAGCATTGGGGAGGGGGGGAAAAACAAATTACTTAGGTTTGTTTGTTTTGCAAAAATATTTTCCCATTTTCCCCCATCCCCAGTTGCCTGCGACTTGGGCCCTAGACAAAAGCGCCTCGAGAGCCAAATATGGCTTCGTCATTTGCAAATTCGACAGTTTTTCCATGGGAGTGTATCGAATTGAGGCACGGGCATACAATACACACACATTCATATACCCACACAGTGGGGGAAAATGAGTACAGCCCACGTAAATATCTAAAATTGAGTCCCCTTTCCACACAAAAAACACAAAACCAGCAAAAGTATTCCAATAAATATGAGCTGGGGAAATAAAATATCTCTCGTTAACTGATGACAGCAGCAAATATGAAAGCGGCATGCCTGTGGGGCAAAACATCATCCACCAGATACAGATACAATTACAGATCGAGATACGCAGCTTTCCACACCTGTCCAAACAGGGGGCTATGTGGATGGAGCATGTATAGGTGGATGTGGGTGCGTGTGTGTGTGTGGCAGAGAGCATTAATTACAACTGTCTAAGTGCGATTCAAAAAGAAGAATCGCACCCTCTTCAGGGGAGGCTGAGAGGAGGGTGAGCAGGCACAGGCCCACGCCCAGTCAAGTGCTCTCCTGCTAAACAAATATTTAAGTTGATTGGGCGGGCAAGCAAATGCAAAAAGTTTCCACTCAAGGAGTTCACCAAATTCGCATAAATTCAATGCGTGCCCTGGCAGCCGTGAACTTTTTAATGTATTTTAAAACACTTTCCACTAAACATTTTAAGCAAACTGCTTCTCTCTCTCTCTCTCTCTCTCTCTCTCTCTCTCGCTGTTTACAGCCTTTGCCAGCCATCGCCGCTCTGTTTTAGTCGCAGGTCTCTGTCTCAGTCTCAGTCTCAGGCGGAGTCGCAAGTCCAAGTCGCATCCAGTCGCTGGGCTGCCAAGTTGACTTCCTGTGAGAGCGGCAAAGTTTTTCGCTGCTTGGTGCTGCTGCACGAAATCCCACGGAGGCTGAAATCAAGTATTTCATTTTGGATTCAACTGCTGTCCGAGAGCATTGCAACAACTAAATGGGGTCTACCAAAAAGGAAGGAAACGCAACTGGGAATAGTAGAACGAATTTTATATACCTTTCGATGTGGGTAAGCAAATTTTGTACATTCCTCGTGGGGCTTTTTTTTTTTTGGCATGCAAACAAATTTTTAAAAATCTATTAAAACAAAATAATGAAAGAAAAAGTAACCACCCGAAAGTTACAGATTATTTTATATTTCTTCAGATTTGTGTTCCTTGTGGGAAGCTTAGAAAATCCCCTTTTAAATTAATTTCATTATTTTTATTTTTAATCAAAGGTTATTGTTAAAAAGCTTCAAAGTTTTTGCCTTTTTTCTGCTCATTTACTGCTAAGAAAATAATCTGATAATTGCTCAAGCCACACAGTATTTTTCAAAAAGTTCTGGTTCAATTCTTATGATACTTTCGTGGACTTGAATCGCTGATTTCAATTTCTAGGACTCCTGAAAAAGCTTAATCCACAGATTTCACGCCTCTTTTTAAAAAAGGGAACTCGTCTTTCGTGAAGGGCCCGAAGCAATAGCAATAGCAACAGCAGCAGCAACAGCAGCATCTTCAATGTGGTAATAACAAAGCCTGGAATAAGAAAAAGTTCTTGAGGAGTTTTCGGCACTGCTCCTAGGAACCCACTTCGCCCCCCACCTCCACCGTCGGCAGTTGGCAGATGAGTTTCGAGCAAGTTTTGGTCTACAACAAATAAACGATATAAACTCCATTTTGTGGGGCTTGACTGGTCAGTGTGTCAATGTTTGTTTTATGTGCCTGGCTTAAGTTTTACTCTGCCCAAAAGAAAACTCCATCTACCACAAGCACAAAGATGTATTTTTTAATTAATTATTTGCAACAGGAAAAGGCGGATGGCGTAATAATTGAACAAATAGAAGGGAAAATCTTTGATTTGCTCACTTTTGCATTCACACAAGCGATTAATAATGCTGTCGATGCAGTGGCCGGACATAATTTGTGTGTGTTTTTAGGTCTATTTAAAGCGGCTTAGGCCTGCCTGCCTGCCTGGCCTGCCTTCTTCGGCTGTTGAGCATGTAATTGCATTAATTTATTTGGCCAAAACGATGGCCAGAACTCTCTGCCAGTTAGCTCTGATCTCTGACCACGACAACAATTCGTACAGCAGCGGCGTGCGATATGCTCGGACTTGGCCAGTAATTAAAACACTGAAATGTTGCTGGCAAAATCTGAAAACAGAATACAATTTAAAGAGTCTGGTGGGCCGGGAGGAGGGCGGCAAAGAAATGTTACAGCAGGAGGGCAAACAAAAGTTTTCCACATTTGAAATGCAGCTTGGATTTGTTTTAGTTTTTGCTTAGCATTGTTGCCATATATTTGCAGTGGCCCAGAGATTTGTTTGCTGCATTTACAGAGGCTACACAAATTGCACAATGGAAGCCAAAAATGCTTGACGGCTGAAATTGGAATTTGCTTTTAATTGTTTTTAATTAAGTATAATTTATTGTGCAAACATCGTAGGCATACAACGACCGAGTGGCCACAGTTTGTCTGCAAATAGAGCCTTATGCTTAAGATTTTGAGTGGCCAAAACATTCTCTACATTTCCCACTCAGCCACACCCACAACAAAAAGGTTAAAGGTTGCTCCAGTTACTTCAATTTGAATAATAAATGGCCTGCCTTTGAAGGTTAATTTGATTCCGTTTAAATGGTTATTGATTTTGCACAGTAGCTAATGAGCAAAAAATTCTACAAACACTGAGCGGAAAATAATAGTAAAATAATTAAAATTATTTAATGAGTGGAAATATTATTTTGTATTGCAAATATCCTAATACCTTGCATAGATCCTTTTCGTACTCTCACGATTGGGTATTATATTTCCGTTTTTAATCTCTTGATGATTCTGTAATTGTTTATTCTCAGTGCTGCCTTTCTATCGCACAATCCAGGGCTATAAAAGCTTGCGACCCTTGACAGTCCAGTTCCAATTGCATCAACATGCTGACAGAAAAGTTTCTCCAGTTGCAGTCCTTTTACTTTGGCCTCCTGGGACTGGAGCTGTTGCAGCAGCAGGAGGTTCGGGGTGTGAGGCGAAGCATTTGCTGCATCCTGGTTGTAGCCACATTCCTGCCACTGACCATCGCCTTTGGTCTAAGCAACATACACAATATGGACAGGCTGACCGACACACTCTGTTCGGCGCTGGTGGATTTGTTGGCCCTCTGCAAGATTGGGTTCTTCTTGGGGCTGTATACAGATTTCAGGCAGCTTATTCAAAGATTTCACAATATGCTCGAAAGGGGTAATTTATGTCAGTTATGTGTTGGTTATTTTCCAAAGAATTTCTCCCCCTTAGAGAGTCGCTGCGAGATGGCAGCTGAGATCGTTGCCCGGCAGAATGATCGGGATCAGTTTATTAGTTCTCTGTACAAGAACTGCTTCCTGGTGGCTGGTTTCTTCGCCTGCCTGATGTCTCCGCTGCACATGATTATTGGCTATTGCAGAACAGGCCAAACGGAGCCAGCTTATCCCTTTCCCAGCGTGTAAGTGGAGGCAATGAGTGCCATTATCGCACTTCGCAATTTATGTATCTTTCTGCCTTTCAGCTATCCCTGGGACAATCGTCACCTGCACAACTACCTCTTCTCGTATCTGTGGAATGTGTGTGCCGCCTTGGGCGTGGCACTGCCCACCATCTGTGTGGATACACTCTTCTGCTCGCTGACGCACAACCTATGCGCCCTCTTAAAGATTTCCCGTCACAAAATGCTGAGCTTTAGAGGCAAAAATCTAAAGGAGACCAAGCTGAATCTGAGACACATCTTTTACCTTTATGGCGTGTGCCTGTAGTTGGGCAGCTCATTAAATCGCTTTTTCAGCCCGCTCATCTTTGCCCAGTTTATTGCCACCTCGTTGCACCTGTGCGTGCTCTGCTATCAGCTCTCCACGAACCTCATGCACCCCGGTATGCTGTTCTATGCCGTCTTTATGGCGACCATTCTCGGCCAGGTAGCCATCTACTGCCATGGCGGGGCCTGTGTCCAGGCGGAGAGCCAGCTCTTCGCACAGGCCATCTACGAGAGCGACTGGGTGCCGCTGCTGCTGGATGGACATCCGGATGTGGTACGTTCGTTGCAGATTGCCATGGTGCGATGGCTACTTCTTTGTGGCCAATCGAAAGACATTTGTGTTGGTATGTGGCTTGGTCTCCTCTGTGATTAATAAAATTCCAAATTCTCAAGGATTTCCACTCTCTTGCAGATTGTTCAAACTGCCATTTCGTATGTAACGCTACTGCGATCATTCTCCTAGATCATTGATTATATTGTTCCAGTAATAATATCTCTTTTAATATCTCCCTTTTGTTTACCCTCGACGTGCATGGTTATTTTCTATTAAAAGTCTATGTATGCTCTTGAATAAAATGACAAAATTTGCACGAACTTTTGCTACCAGTTTTAAAATTCCCAAAATAATTTCGTCGAAATCTGATTCTTTTATAATTTTCGGAATTTGCACTGTTTTTTGTTGGAATTAAAATTCTGAATAAATCTACCAAAAATACTGACAGAATTCATGAGGTATTCCTGGCCATTAGTAGTGTGTATAAATCCTATGGTGAAATATCTAATGCATAAAGATGTGAAATTTTATGTGCAGGCAATATTTTCTGTTGAATAAAGCCTTGCCCTATGATTTTATTCAGCAGCTCAGCAATTGGTTGCAGTGCAGTAATGGTTCTTGGATTTTATTGAGTTGCTGGTAGAAAGGATACTGTGCCAGGCACCCAAAATTTCGATATATTTCGCCACCCATTCAATATTCATGAGTGCCGCCCCGAAGCGCCGCGTTCTGCTTTGATTAAGCTGCGTGGAAATATTTACAATTATGCTTTAAGCTGGTGCGGTTTAAGCCACTTGGCTAATTAAGCCATGTTAATGGCAATAACTGCGTTGGAAAAATCAGTGCCGGGGCCTGTTAATGCCTTTTGCATTATTGGCCCAGTACTCGTTGTTGTTTCTGTTGTTGTTGCCTTTACCACTTTACTCTGGGCATTGGACATGCAGAGGGAGGAACGCACGTAAACGTAATATTTGCTGTTCGTTGTTGGGTTTCTTTTATTTTTATTTTTATTTTTTTTTTTTTTCATCATAGCCTCGCACAACATTGCGGTTGTCTGCACGTGCCTGGGCCCACGATTATGTATAAAAGTGTGACATGGTCAAAGGATTTTGGGCGATTTAACTTTGTTCCGTCGATAGACACACACACTCTCTCCCTCTCTCTGTCTCTCTATATGTCTTTTTCCCTCATTCTATATGGCTCTGTCTCTGTCTGTCTCTAGTGTGTGTTTGCGGGTGTGGCACGTGAGTGCGGTCGCGGAAAAGCCAATTGCAGTGACATGGATTTTGTACGCATCCGCATGCAACGCTTTGTCATAAACTGCACACAACATGGAGGCTTAAGTTTAGCAGATTTTGTAATTTGACAGTGACCACAATGGGAAGAGGGCAGAAAAGGAGGGCAGCCAGGGAGAGGCTGGAGCAGAATGTACGCCTAGAGGGTAGCAGCAGAGGGGATATAGTACTAGAAATACAGCATTCAAATCAGTTCACTGCACCCGCAGGCAGAATACGGAAAGTATTAATAAAAGTCAGTGCCCAAAGTCGCCCCAGATATTGTCTTGTTTCATGATTCATTTGCTGATTATGCAGCAGTTTCCTTCGATTAAACATGACAAAATGCTGTGTAATTCCTAGTGTAACCCTCTTCATCCGTCGCCCCTTTTCCTATTTGAAGACTCGCACAGCCAGAGGGCAAAGGCCATCATCTACTAGGACACTTGTACCGTTCAATTGTGGGCCCAAGTTTTCGGTGGCAAAAACAGGCAGACAAACAAAATCAAAGACAGTCAACACTTTTGGCCGGGGCGAAAGTGGCGAAAAATATGCCCCAAGGGCATTGGACTATCACCGTCTGCAGTCGGTCGCTTTCTAGCTCTCGCTCTCTCTCTGTCTCTCTTTTTCTTACTCTTTCTATCCTTGTTTGATTCTGTTGCCATCTCCTTTGGCGTGTCGTGTGGCGCTTTGTGGCCCATTGAGGCAAATAGTTTCGGTTTAGTCCAATAATGATGCTATTGCAACAGAGAGTTTGCCAGTCCCTTGCCTCTGATATTCCCTTCTTGTTTGTTTCTCTCTCGGTGTGGGTGTATATTGAGGGTGGTGTGTGTGTGTGTGTGTGGGCGTGGCCGTTGGTCCACTTTCATTCAATTGACGCTCCTCGAGCTGAAATGCCATAATAAATTCAATTGTGCCAGTGGGACCATGCCACCCCGCAGGGCGTCTGTCACTTTTGTGTCGCCACAGATCCGTTGCCGCATTCCATTTGATCTCCATCTTCCTGCTCCGAAATCATTTATTATTTGCTTTCCCAACATTGTCATAACATTTTCCCCTCTTTTACGCCGCTGCAGCGGGGCGCTGTCTTTGTGGAAGGAAATTCCCTTTTTAATTTGCCAATTAATCGAATCAATCGCCTGCACTTCCGCTGCCTTCCTGTGAGTCCTGCCTTTTGTTACGTTTTATTTTTTATTTTTGGTAATTTTATGCCGCTAATTTATGCGGTCAATTGTTTTTAGTTTTATCGAGCATTGCGTTCTTTTTTTTTTGCTGTTGTAACGCTCCATTGAATCTGGGCCGGACGCTTTCTAAATTTGGGTTTCTTTTATGCTTGCTTACATTTTGTTTCTTTTGCAAGGGAGCAAAAATTTGTAGAGAGCCGAAATCGGTATACTCTTGCAGCAAAGAGGGTATCTCTTTTGGCTTGGATTCTCCAGAAATGTTCTATCTAAAAATTGGCAATAAAGTTATATAGTTGCAGGCCAGTAAAAGATTTGTATTCGCTTTAATTTCATAAGATGGATATCTACTCGGTGAGCAATCATTACCATGAGCAAATACTCGTATGACTTAAAGCTGACCTAATGAATGGTGATTGCATGCCCAACAAGCCCAACACAGCACAGGCAGGACAACATTGCACAGGAACCAAGCTGCACCCTCAATTAGAGCATAAATATCAAATATTACGTATACGCCCAGAATTTCGCACTAGGCAAACATGCATATGTATGGGCCAAACTAATGGATTCATTTATTGGATATTGCTTGGTAAATGGCCAATGCGAAAATATATGTATATGTATATGTATGTAAGTATGTATGTATGTATATGCCCTGATGCCAGATGAAGCCATCTTGAGGTTTTGGTTTCCAAGCCCAAGGTTTATTAAAGGCAGCACTTGGTGGAGGATTTTTCTGCCTGCCCCCCCACCGGGGACCTGGATGGCCAGCTAAAGTTCGGCATTGTACATGAAATTGTTATAAAGAGCTAACCGGATATTTTCGGAATTTTTAATTAATTCGTCTGCACATGGCCCCCAAACAACCTACCTATACACATCCTGAGCAGTCGTCCGGTGGCAAGTCCTTGCCTGTTGTCCTGCTGCTTCTGATGCTGCTGCTGCTGCAGCCTCTGCTGTCCTTCTGCTGTCCAGCCACTTGCAACTCAGCTGCTGCCGCACTATACATGCATGTATGTGTACGTGTGTGCGAGTGTGTGTGTGTGTGAGTTCAATTTGCAGTTGTATTACTGTTGTCAAAGAGCGTGGAGCGAGGAGAGCTGCAGCAATTTTCGGCAATTGCTATCCTGGCTAAGGACACACTACTGCTCCTCATGCCCATCCGCTCTCCATGCTCTCCCGGTGCTCTTCATCGCCATCTCCTGCTGCTGCTCCTTTGTTGTTGCTCATTCATTGTGCAAAGTTTGTATAAATTTTTGATTTCTTTACACAAAATGCTGTGCATGTCTCTCTGACTGTCTGATGTCCTGCTGTTCCTGCTCCGCAGGAAGACTTCCTCGTCCTCGTCCTTGTGCTCATTCTCGTTCTGGGGTCTCGGTTCGGTTTCCCATTTCCCCCCACCAGCTTCAGTTCGCTTCAGCCCATCGTTGCCGCCGTCACACAACACAAATGCCATTGATTGAGTCACATCGCCTGGGCATATAAATCTCCACTGATGGGGTGTGACACGGTTGGCTGCTGTCAGAATTTCTGGCTTGCCTACCTTAAAGTTTTGCGCCGTGCTGCATGCCTCAGAGCCCCAGACTGAGCAGACTCACAGTCACGAGTCACAGTCAGAGTCTGTGGCGTTTGGCGTAACTTGCCCGATGATTTCGTTATTGTTCGATTGACAATAAAAAATCAACTGAAAGTTGCAAAAGGCACAAAACTGTCATTGAATTTGCACACACACAGGGGCAGACACTCACACAGAAACAGACATACAGACATACAGATGCGAAATGAATCCTTCGATGAGGGTCAGAACACGGCATGGTCGGGTCCTGGAGGAGAACAAAATGTAAGCATATAAAAATAAGTCGCTTGGGGCTTCCCTCCCACCAACCCCATTTCGGACAAAAGCTTTCCAAATTTGTATGCAAAAATGCAATAAGCGAGTGCAGCTTAAATAAAATGCATTTCAATGATTGCATTTTGGATTAAAACAACAACAACAGTAGCAGCAGCAGCAGAAGAGCAATTTCTACATACAACATACCTACATACATATTTATAAAAAGTTTTTTATCTCCTTTTTTTTCTCTCTTATTTTTTGTTGCTTAAGTTGTAGAATATTCTGGAAATGGAATTGACAGACATGGCATACATATATACCGTTTTGCCTCTCAGTTTGCGTCTAAGTTTAGGTTTAATGAAGTGCAAACAGAAATATTTTCAATTAGAGGAAAGGATAACCGAAGAAACAGCACAGAAACAGAGACCGAGACCGAAACAATGTGGAAAAGGTAAAAGTCGAAATGCCGACAAGAACAACGACAACAACGACATAAGAGCAGAGCAGAGAAGTGCAGGTGAGTGGCATGCAAATGCAGCTTGCCACACTTTCCCTTACCACACCTACACACACACACACACACAGAGACAACAGACAAAGCTGAAGTGCACTCACCCAAAGCTACAAGCTCGAGTCTGCTGTCGGCTTTGGGTTGGCTTTTTTTTTTCTATCCTGCCTGCCATCCTGCCATCCCTCAGAGGGGCTTACACAACCCTCAAAAGTGCCTTCTGGCAGCTACTGAGATCTCCGATCCTACTTGATCACTTGCCTTGACTTTCCAGCACTGAAAGTCACACATTTTTCGGATATCTTTTGGGATAAAACTATGCCAAGTGTCTGTGTTTCATTGTCACTGATTTTCCTTTATGCTCATGCCAGTTATAGAAGAGTTTACATATCCCAGATTGGTTAATGCAGGCCGAACCTTCTTCATCACTT